GGTGGTAGCGTAATATAATAGTTTTAACTTTGCAATGGTAGTGATTTACAGTGATGGAAATTGTGGAATTCACCGTCGAGATGATATACTTTATGTGTTGTCGAAAAACACGGGATATTATTCGGCGTCGACGACAGCGCAACCAAGTAGTCCGATTGCATCTGCGAAAGCACTTTGTTGAGACGTCGTCAATGTTTTCAAAGCAGGTAGAGCCATCTACCACGATGGATACGTTGGACAACATTGAGGACTCTGAACTCAGTGAAAATAACTCCACTAGGCAATATTTGCCATACGAGTGAACGGACTGGTGATTTATGACTGTTTGGTGCCACAGTATTATTTACAAAGCGGTTTGGTGCTCATAGGAGGAAACAGCATTGTTAGGAAAAATGTTTGTTGAATATGTTCGGTCGTGCAGAAATGAAAGACGTTGGTGATACTGCCCCTAACTGGTTCTTGTCATTCGGACTCCTGTTATTATAAACTGTTCCCATTTTTTTATATATAATTTGACAAATGTACACCTTTTTTTTCAAATTCTCACAACTCACTTCTATTCAAATCTTGTTTGGTTGTTGCTTTTCATTTTACTGTGAGCTTTCGAAAATTATTAGCTATGTAACACAGCATGTACAAGATGTACCCAACAACTTTGCAGTGGTGACCAGACTGAGCATCTCTTCTACACAAAATACATAACATGCACAATGATAAATACTTTAATTTGTGGACAATAATGCTATAACATTAGTTATTTTTTCTTTTTTTTCTCAGAAAAACGTAAGACAGTCTAAACAACGCACCAAATGATGAGTAAAAAAAAGTTAAAAAATGAAAACGTTAAAGAAACTATGATTGGAAACAAAGCAACAGACGGATATGAATGAGAAAAAACGCAGCGACGGTTATGACGGTTATAAAAAATATAAGGCAATGGAAAAATGGAACAAGCAAAAAATTTTTAAAAGCAAAATCCTGGCCACTGCCTTACCGTCCAATAAAAAAAATCTACCAGAAAAGTGATACTGACAGTGATATAAGAATAATGATATTTGTTGACTGTTATCACAGTACCGCTGAATTGCAGTTTCCTTCTTTCTTTTTCTCTAATGAAATTTTATATGACAACGAAAAAAGTAGTGATACAGCAAAACGAAAGAAGGAAAAAAATTCATAAGAATGTTGAAAAAAAACTTTTGAACTGCTATCCGAGAGGACTTGTTTTTTCTAAAAATACTGATTACATAGTGATCGTAATTAGTAAAAACAACAAAAATGGTAAGGGTAATGGTAATAACATTAATGATGATAATAATAAAGCAGTGAGAATGAAATAATGATAGTAACAGTGGTGGTGGTAGTGATCGACTACTGTTCAAAATGCCCATTTCGTAAAAATTAGAATTGTTCGGTGTGGTCATTCTATTTTTTTGTTTTTTTCCTTGTTTTTTTCTTCGTTTTTCTTTCTGTTCTGATCTGTTACACACTAAGTAAAACTGTTTTGATTGTAACAAACTAAACTTTAAGAAAGCAAAAGAACAAGAAACTTGTTTCGTCTTCCTCATTAAATATCCCATCCACAAAATAACCATTTTTAACTTTAGCTGTTTTTCGTTGGAAGAAGGATCTTTGATCTAAGAAGACGACGAAGACGATGGCGAGAAAAAAAAAGGAAAGAAGATGATAATAAAGAAGAAGGAGTATCCCGTGATTTCTCAGAGACAAAAATTTGACGAGCAGTGATACAATCACTTTTCACGGTGATAAGGTGATACAGACCAAAAAAAAATCAGTGAAGTAATAAAGCGTTACCGATATCAACGATACTATTGTGGTGATCACTAAAAGGAAGAAAATTTGATCAATATAATTACACGTTACTCAAGCAAAAAAAAATGAAGTTAAACGAATATACCTTCAAAAAGTAGGACGCAAACCACCAATTATTCAATTTTTCATCAGTCTATTAAATTTTTCAAACATCTTATTTTTCCCCTCTTCATCTATTCACAGAATAATGATTACTGCTTCAATGTGATGCTGTTATTCATTATAGAGAAGAAAAAAACAAAATTGAAGAACAGTAAAGAAAACTCGGGTAACCAAGAAAACAAGACCTTGTTTGTTAGGATTCATAATAGACATTAATAACATTAATTTCGCCCGTAGAAAATGTCTGAGTTGAGGCATCGGATGTCTGTCGTTGTGAAGGCACTTGAGGACTAAAGACACCGTTTGTTATTGGACTAGCATTACCCCGCCGATTGTTTCGGAATGTTGGAGGTGCAGGATTCTGCGCAGGAATAGGTGGAGGACGATTTGGTATTGCTATTACAGCTTCAATGCATTTTTCTTCAAACAATGGACGTAAATGGTTTGGTATCAGGTTGTTCATCATCCGATAAAAGACCGTCAGTAAGCAGTGTGCTTCTTCGACGATCGTCATCAACATTTCATCGGTGATTGGCCGTTGGCCCCAGCTTAAATGCAGAATTTGCTGCTACTGCTACTGCTAATAACTCAAGCAATGAGAGGAAGCTTAATATCTGCGTTATTAATGAAGACCAAAAGATATCTGGCACTACTGAATCTTTTCAATAGTGGTGCCCAAAAATAAAAAATCTTTAAACAGCATTAAATTGAACATTCAATTCAATCACCTGGCGAACTTTTTTAACTGCATCCAAATCGTCAACAGTTGACAAATTGATATCAGCAAAATAAAAAAGAAAATTAGAGAACAAGAAAAATGGTTTGACTAGTTCAGTTGTTAGTCAAACCATTATTGACTAGAATGAAAAATTTAAGCAGCACTAGATACCTGGGCATCTGAGATAATTTCCTAGGTGTTGCATCAGACATCATTATAGACTGAGGATAATAGACCCGTTGTAAATTGAGGAAAGAGATCGAGCGCATTTCAGACAGAGCTTTACCAAATTTTTCATGCTGAAGTATTGTGTGGGCAACCTATAAAACAGAAATGAGCAGACCACTTTATTTTAAATTGAATGATTAGTTTTAAAACATAAAAAAATGTTTGAAATTAGTTTGTTTTGAAAGTGTAACAGTTTGTGGCATTTCTACAAAAAATAAAAATGCAACAAAAAAGCAGTAAAAAAATCTGTGACTCATCGCTTACTTGTGTATCAAAAATTCTTCGAAGATTGACAGCGTAACGATGTGCTAAAAGACTTGCTATCCTTCTGGCTTCATGCATTATCTGAAATATTAACTTTTTATTAAAAAATAACCACGGTTTATTTACGTGCCAAGAAATGCGAATAGCTACAATACGGAGGTAAACCAGGTAATAAAATAAAACCTTAACAACTTTTTCGGATTCCAAAATCTCTTTGACTCCGCTTTCCAATAAAATAATATCACTATGTACAAGATCAAATGCAGCAATCCGATTTGGAGTTGCAATAACTATCAATGAGAGAAATTCGTCCCCTTGCATCCCCAGTGTTACCGTTTTGAAATCTAAACCGATCACCTTCTCTTCCATGGCCTCAATGTCAGCGTTAATTAGAGTGATGGCATCCTAAAAATAAATGCTTAAGTGATATCTTATTTAAAAAAAGCCCTAAGAAGAAAAGCAAAAAATTGTAAAAATTTGATTATCAAAAAATTAAAGGCACTTATTCTAAAAATTTGAGAAGAGATTGATATTATAAAAGATTAGTTAAGGTATTTAACCTGTGCTGGTTTGAGTGCTTTTACCAGTGTTACGTTACTCAAAGCATTCTGGTTTGACATTGCTCCATTAATTTGTTCAAGCTCAGATCCTTCAGTTGAACCACTTTCTGAACCATCTTCCGACGGCCGATTTTTGACTAATGATACCTGCAAAAAAACAAAAGAAAAAATGTGTCCTTCTTTTCTAGTTTAATTCTCAACAACCTCTTCCCTTTGCCTTTGACTGAAATAACAAAATATATAATTTGTACAACAGCACTGCTGCACACAACACTACCTTTACTCCTAAAATTTAATGCAAAAAATTTAAACAGTTGGTAAATAGAAAATAGCAAACAGAAATCACACAAAAAGGAAAAAAAAAAAACGTAGTTTGCAATAGAGATTTTTTTCTCTTGCAAAATAAAGAATAACTGAAAAATGTTCAGCAGAAATAGAAAAACAAAAAAAAACCTTATTTGATCGAATGAAAAAAACATTGCGATTTAATTTCAGGAACTGCAACAATTCTTTCGGATTTGTAGCCACTTCCTGTCGAACGGTATGCGAAAATCGATCACAAAACTTTTGATAAAATACATCCATCGGAATTGGTTGCTCTTCGTTCTATAAAGGAAAGAAAAAAAAATGAAACTAAAAAGCTTATCAAATAACTTTTCATCCGCAATTTTTTTTTCTTTTTTTTGGTACTGCTGTTGAACGATACTCAACAAATTGGCCAAACATAACATTAGACGTCAGCACAACTGACTTAAAAGATCTAAATTTAATCTCACAAATGACAATCAGCATTCAACGTTTCTAAAGTTTAGTCTAGTCCGATTTGTTTTATAAACTGTAAGCCAGTTATTCGGCAATGAAAGATTTGGTTGTGAAAAAAACTCAATCCCCCCTAAATCAATTGATGGATTTTGAATGAAAACTAAAGTTTTGCAGTTGTTTTTGATTGGCACTAAATATTTCATTGATATTACATAGAAAATTAACCAGTCAATATCCGCTAAAATCCATTAATGTTCCGTGAAATAGTCCGGAAATAAAAATGTCAAAAAAAACATTTTTTAAACAAACTATATTTATATGTCTTTTTTTTTCCAGCTACCAAATAGACATTTTAAACATCAAAAGGAAAAATATAAGCAACGAAAAGTAAAAATATATCTAAAAAAATACATGTTTTTAAAAGACTGTATACATACACTTTTCTTCCTAATATTAAAATGGTGGTTTCCTGATAGTGAAAATACTTCTATTATTTATATATTCTTTTAAATAACAAAGTTTTTTCTTGTTAAAGCTATTTTGAGCATAAAAAGAAAAAAGACTTGTTCTAAAATAAATGCATAAAAAAGTAGAAAACCGCAAAAAAAGAACACATAGCAAACATCCTATCTGCAAAAACTTTTTCATTGGTCATCAGAACCAATGTCAGCAATAAACTGCTGAATAAATTTTGAAAACCACCAAACTGTCTATCAAAGCTTTGGTCGAAAATTTGAAAAATCATTTGAACCGAAAATGGTAACCAGATTAAACGATCCAAACAGAAGAAGAAAGAGTAAAAAATAAACAGATAAATAGTAGCAGAATTAGTAATATCAGTGAAAAAAAACTGAAAGGTACCAACGCAAACCTGTTCCAAGACCGATTTTAGGTATTCTACAGCAGCCTGTTTTGCCTTTACTCCAGCCAACGGTTTTCCTTCATCATCCAATTCAATTCCTCCACTGCTTGGTTCAGGCATATTTTTTAGCCGTACCCGGTCGCCTTCAACAACAAAATGTTCCGTTTGAGCTTGAAGAAATTCGCAAAAGTCTTTCAGATGTCGACCCGAAACCAAACGTATCTCTGGTGCAGCCTGTGATCGATGACCAAGCAAACTTTTAATCTGTAAAACCAAAATTATTTTATTTCTTTTACTTTTTTTTTTTGTTCGTTTATTTTGACAAAATATAATCGCTTTAAAATATCATAAACACAAATCTATACACATTTGGATTTTTCCTCTTTTTTTCATCCATCTTTCTTTCTTTACTTCAACAATAATTTTCAAACTGTTTAGTCTATTTATAGTCAATAGGTTTATTCTTGCTCTTCTGATCAGTTTGGACTTTTTTCCTTTTTTTTTTTTTCAGCCGATATCCTCCCACCATATGTTATGAATCACTGATAAGCAGTAAAAAAAATGTAACTGAAAAATAAACTAAACAAAAACGATTTTTGAAGAACGAAGAAATAAAGAAGCAAAAAAAAAAAAAAAATACCTG